GTTACCGGCATATGACATTGTGTGTATGATTATGAAGTCATATGCTGGGGCCACCAGAAATTCACTTCTATCCTCGAGGAAGACCGCAAAGTCTTCTTGGAGCTAGGACCGAATCTCGGGCGTTGGTGATTCTTTACTGTGTGTTGACAATCTCCTTGCCTTGGTGCATGTCCACCTAGATGCCCTAGAATATGTTGTCTTTACTAGTATAGTTTTATATTACACTTAACATAGTTGACTAAATTCATGTGGATTGTAATGTTAAGATCTAATTTTATACAATTTTAAAGTCCATTGTTACTGAAAGGATCGATATGGTTGATGATAACCTACAAGTACATGGGATTGTTGGTAGCCTTTTTTGATAAGTAAGAGTGTCGAACCCAACGAGGAGCTAAAAGGGGCCTTTATGGAGCTAGTCACTCGTATCTGAGCTTCATGCAGGACTGCTTCCGAGACTATTAAACTGATGATACTCCCAAGTAGAGGTCTTCGGACAAATATGTCGGGATATCAGCTAGTTCGTCGTGATTAACATAACACCCTGGGAAAAGGAACCGCTAGAGGAACCATTTTTCGCCGAAGATGTGGCTTGCGTTAAAAAGCAATATAACATAACTCTATGTAAGACTTACATTTTGACCTTGTGGCCGTATTGCCTCGTTCCATGCAAACGTCACCTGTGACCAGGCTAATGTTGGGAACACTCTTCGTCCTCTGGCCGAGGAGGTAGAAGCCGACGGTTGGTTGACGAAGTCTGAAAATTACGGACATGAACATAAAAATGGCCAAGTACATAGATACATAAAGTCATAATTCAGCTTCAACTGTTTAATTTTTTCCTTGCCGACATCTTGCAGGTCGACCGACGGGTCCCTCAGAGCCAGCCGAGGAGCTGTGAAAGAATTTTTTTCCTCGCCGGCATCTCGTAGGTCGACCGATGGGTCTCACAGAGCCATTCAAATTAAAACTCGCCATGCCACATTTTCAAACTACATCTACCATGCTAATTGTGGTCACAACTTACCTTTTTTTACACACATGGCAAATTTCTTATAGAACATATGGCAATTTTCACATACATCTGTCATGGTAACTTTTGTAATGATGTGTTTTACATTACATACATGACAAAGCTCTCACACAAAGGATGGCAAAATTTGTATACATCTGCCATGGTGTAATTGTGGTCGTTTTTTTGCCCAGTTTATTTTCTGTACTGTTCATTCTGTTTCGCACATGGTATTTTTTGCCACGGCATTTCCCGAACATAAAGTGTTGCCATTTTTTGCTATCTACCATGATTTGTAGAGCAATGGTAATCACCGTGTTTGCGTCATGACAAATCTATACAAATCTCAATGAACTACAATAAAAATACAATGGCAAATCTTAACATGCATCTGCCACAAGAACTTTATCCATTTTTTAAAATATGCCCCTACAAGTTCTAGTTCATTGAGCATATAATGTCAGAAAACTTGTGTGGATTGGTAATATGGCAACTTTTTCGAACAAGTGTGTCTCATACATCATGGCAAAATCTGGAACATTTTTTCCTGAATAGTCACACGATAAATGCATGAATTTTTTATCTTTCAAAACATAATTACCTTTTGAGAACATGGAAAATTTACTTTGGAGAATGGTAAATTTACATTTTATTGCCATGGAAAAAAATTGATTGCCATGGCTAATTTTATTTTTATTGCCATGGCAAAATTTACCTTCTTATTTGCATCGCAAGTTTACATTTATTGCCATGGAAAATTTACCTTTTTCTTTGCCATGGCAAGTTTACCTTATTTTCATTGCAATGATAAAATTAACTTTACTTTATTTGCATGACAAAATTAACTTTACTTTATTTGCATGACAAAATTAACCTTTTATTTTGCCATGGCAAATTTAACTTCATTAACATGGAAAATTTACCTAAATCACCATGGCTATTGCGATGGCAAGTTTTATTATTTATTTGCCATGGAAACTTTACATTTATTGCCATGAAAATTTACCTAAATCGCCATGTCGATATTTAACTATTATTGCCATAACAAGTTCTACTATTTATTTGCACCATGGCTAATTTACATTTATTTCCATGGCAAAATTAGCTATATCATCATGGAAGATATTTAACTTCTTCGCCATGGCAATTTTCAGTTTTTATTTGCCATGGGAAATTTACATGTACTGTCATGGCAAAATTACCTATATTGCCATGAAAAAATTACTTTTACATATATGTAAATTATTCTTCAATAGTTCACATCAAATTATTTCTTATTTTTTGGCAACTTAACTTTTATGGTCCATCTAAATTTTTATCATTTTTCCATGTCAAATATATGCAAATTTTAATTTTATATACATGGTAAACTTACTTTTATTAATAATGATAAATTTACTTTTCATGGTCCATGGCAACTTTGCTTTTTACTCCTCATGTTTTTCTTGTCTACTACCATGGCATTTTTTATTGGACCATGACAAATTAAGTTATTTGAGCATGGCAAATGTAGTTTATGGATCATTGCAATTTACTTTTTCTTTGTAACATGGAAAAATTACTTTACTTTGATGGCAAGCGTAGTTTAAGGATCATGGAAATTTTAGTATATGCACCATGGGAAATTTCTTCCTTTTCTACAACATGGCAAATTTCTTTTGAATGTGACCATGGCAATTATAGTCTGTGCATCACGGCAAACATAGTCTATGTAAATTTCTTTTTTTACTTCATGGCATTTTTCTTCTTATACAAAGCATGGCACTTATAATTAAAACACCAAGGCAAATTTTAACATGCATTATTTGCCATGGCAATTTTGTTCATAATTGGTGTTACTTCACATACATGGAAAATTCTTCATACTAAACACGGTAATTTTATTTAAAATACCATGGAAAATTTTAATATGAATTTGCCCATGGCGTTTTTTTATTTCAACTTTTTGTGTCTATTCACACACGGCAAATTTCGCATACAATATATGTAAATTTAGTTAAGAATACCATGACATGTTTTGCTATGAATCTGCCATGGCAAATTATTTTGTTTGTATGATGGAAATTGCCACGACTTTTTTCTTTTTTGGGTTACTGCTAAAATATACTCCTTTTTACCCATGGCAAACTGCGTTTGAAAGTTGATGGCATTTTTTACTTAAAAAAGCAAAAAATTGTGCTTTTTTTGTCACAGGAAAAATGCAAAATCTGGGCATTTTCTTTTGTTTTCGCTAGTGGGCATTTTTGTTTCACTCAGAAAAAAGCAAAACCACATCGATCGACTCCTTCCCAGCCTTGTCTCAAAAAAAAAAAGAAAAGAAAAAAAAGAGACTCCTTCCCAGCCCGCTGACTGTCTCCCTAGCCCCGACCCGCCGCCGCTGCCGCCGCCGCCTCCCTCCTCCCGCCCCGCGCCGCTCTCCACCTCCTCCCGGCTCCCATCCACCGAAAGCCGCCGCCGCCGCTTCTCCTTCACATCGCCGCCTTGCCCCTGTACGACGCCGGCCGCCTCCCTAATCGCGAACGGCGGGGAGGAGACGAGGCGCGGCGGAATTCCGCACCGGAGTAGAGCGGACCGTCTCCTCGCAGCTCCCCCGCCCACGCTGCCGCTTGTGAGGTGAGCAGGCCCCGATCTGTCGAACCAAGTGATAATTTGGGATCTCGTCACTGATTTGGGAACGGATCGAGATGAGGATCGGGGGAAGAAGAGGGACGAACCCTAGCTGCTCTGCTCTAGAGATAATTTGATAATTTTCGTCTTGCTTTTCCATTCCCAGAGTCTGGCTTATATATGCCCGAGAGTTACAGCAGTGACAGCGAGTGAGACACAGTTGGTAATTTTGAATTGCATTGTTAAACTCGCTCAATGACTAAGTATCACATCCTGTCCTTCCATTTGCATCTACCCGCTCTGCCGATAACTGACGAAGCGTCAGTTTTCTTCAGTCTTGGTCAGTTAGCTGCACCTTCAGGGTTTGGTCTTCAGATATCTTCAGTTAACTTGGGCCTGACAATTTCCCCCCTCTTAAGGTGCTGCTTGTGCACGAGTAGCTCTAGGAACATGAGTTGGCCACTGTGGTGGTGCAGTGAATTCCGGGAAATTGGCCTGGAAGAAAAAGAGAGATCTTCCCACGTTGCGTCAGTAGGTGCCATGTTTTCCCAGTGAACCAACCATTGTGCCACAGGTGTGTGTTTCCTCTGGATAATTCTTTTATCCAGAACCGCAAATGGTGAGGTTTTGAGTTTGCCATCCTCAGTCACCATAGGTACATTAGGAAGAGGGATAGCCTGAGAGCCCAGATGTTTCTTCAAGTGACTAATGTGGAAAACAGAATGTATGAGAGCTGTGTCTGGTAATTGTAATCTGCAGGCAACTGTTCCCACTTTGGCCAATACCTTGTAGGGACCACAGTATTTCGACCTGAGTTTCAAAGAGCCTCTTAGTCCAAAGGCATTCTGCCTGTAAGGTTGTACTTTGAGATAGTCATTGTCTCCAACTTCCAATTGTCTTTCTGTCCTCTTGAGATCTGCAAAGTATTTCATTCTATCTTGAGCTTGGGGAAGGTTACCTCTTAGTTGCTCCCTCATCTTCTCTCTTTGCTCTACAAGTGGCTCTAGCTTCTGGCAGTACTGTTCTGGGCAATGATAGTTCTCTAATCTGAGGGGGCTGATAAGCATACAATGCTTCAAATGGAGAGACTTTTAATGATGTGTGATAGGTAGTATTGTACCACCACTCTGCCATTGACAACCAATTCATCTAGTCCTTGGGATTTTGGAAACTACATCTTACATGTGTCATTGACTGAATTCAACATAAAAAAAATAGTCAGCAGGTGGGCAACTACTGTGTTTATGCACACAAATTTTCATGCTTCATTTTCCTTGGTCAGGCAACAGACAAGTAGCAATTACATACTAAAATAAAATGCAATGTATTGCAGGTGATAGCACCCCCGCCCCGTCTACCGTGTCACCGCAACCTGCCGCCCATGGCCGGGGAAGACGGCAAGGTGGATCATCCACGCCGCAGCGGGCGCCTGAAGGCTCAAACTCGCGCGGATCAGGAGCACGGTGCTGAGGACACCAGCGAGGTGGACTGCTCGCGCCGCCGCTGTCTCAGGCCTCAGTCTTCCTCGGGCCAGGAGGTCGATGGCGAGGCGGACCACCCGCGCTACAATTTACGCCTCAGGTATTCGTTTTCCGCCAATCCTACCTTCATGTAGTGTTTGGTCAGGTTTAGCTTAGTAGGATTTGTATAACCATTTTGCTAGTTATTGTATAGGAACATACAATCAAGTTACTTTGCTCTTAACAGTACACTTGCATGCTGAACATAGATGTGCAGGATGCATACGTGCCTTGTGTAGCTTTTTATGTAAGCATGTTTAGCCTTGTAATTGTAGGTTTGGGGCACAAGAATGCACCAAACAAAAAATTGGTAATAAGAGAGGTCTGACAGGCTAGGACACCGGTGAATTGATTTGGCTCGCATGATTGGACCAACCTATTTAGGAATCTTTTGTCTATGGTGTGGCTTAGCTGCGAAATTAAGCGCAAGAAAAAAAGAAGTAATTTTTTTGGTCCACCTTAACTTTCTAGCCGCCGCTATAAGCCACTCGGAGGTAGCTTCCCGAGCTTCCCCTTTAAGTGGAAATTGCTAAATCCTACGTAGAATTTACCTAAAAGGGAACCATTATTCCATACAAAATGCCAGCGCACCAATCTACTTTGGACAACCTGCATAAAGACAACAACACCAGCCAATCCAATCCTGCACAACCGCCTCCTCGTCGTAGACACCATGGTTGTCGGCTGCCTACTCTTTCGCCTTGTCGTGGTTGTGGTGTCCCTCATCACGACGTCTCTGGTGGCCTTTCACGCGTCCCCGCCAAGCTCACACCACTGCCTCTAGTTCGCCGCCTCGTAGAGTTGCACTGCCTTGCTATTTCGCTCCACCATTCGAGGTCAACACCTTTATCGTTGTGGATCCTAGGTTGTTGCGAGGCTTACAGTGTCGGTGGTTTACACACCGACCGTTGAGTTCTCTGAGCCGTGCTCCTCTCCGTCTTTGTGTGTGCCTCGGGTGAAGTAGGCCACCATGTTTTTGGGTGTTCAAGGTTGATAGGCCTTCTACACCGAGCTTGGAGCCATCGCCGGTGGGTGATGTGGTTGCTTTTATTCCTCGTCACCTCCTGGGTCGGTTGGCTCCTCATCTGCATGCTTGCCTGCAAGGTCGCCGGCTTCCCTCCACCATCGAGCCCTACGACTTGTGCTCTCAACTCTGCTGCCTAGCCGGAGCTCGAAGGTAATCCCGCACCGCTGTGCTATTCTGATGCTTTGCCCCTCTGCTTCAGCTGGAGGCCGTTGCTAGAGCCGCAAGCGCACTCACTCGTGCATGCTTGTAGATTGCTCGATGATTTACAGTTGCGCCTTGAAGTTGCCGAGTGCTGGTTGCGTTGCGTGCCTGGTGCTGCCACAAAGAATCAACCCATCCAGTGTCCTACCTAGCTTCGTGAATCAGTCAGATCGATTGCTATCAATCTAGCTAGCTATATATCTCGTCTTTTCCCATCTAGCTATGTTACTTGATCTGCTTTGCTCTCCTTCTCACCCTAGTTCCTTGCCACCCCACTTCCTGATGTGCATGACTGGAGTACCTGCATCCAGACTGCCCCGAAGGCCCTAACAAGACAGTGCCCTAGTTTCTTGCCACCCCACTTCCTGATTTGCATGACAGGAGTACCTGCATCCAAACTGCCCTAAAGGCCCGCCCTTAGAGCAACTCAAATTCTGTAAAACTGTGTGAAACTTCTTTGCACGATAAATTGGAGGATACAATGCCCTCTGCATTTGCAGCCAAGAAAAGTTATCAGGTGGCGAAGCGCCCATGGTGAGACCATCCTCAGCCAAAAAAAGTTCAAACCATAGCCTCGTTAGCCGCTTGGTCATGTGGTTTTTGAATTCCAGTCTCTTGCTTCTTAGTCCCATTCCAGTCTCTTGTGTGATATCGTCTAGGAATCAGGATGGACTACCTTGTAGGGGTGGTCCTAGCGCTGAACACCGACTCGGACTCCTTGTACTCGGTTGGTATTATACGAGTTCAATGCCTCAAATATCATGTTGACGACACCGTTATTGTGGAAATAGTTTGACTCGCTTCTAGTAGCTCCCAAGTATTTGTACTCCTACCGGCTCCTTTGGCAGTTCGTCTCTGGCGGCTTTGTCGGACCTTCAAGCGACCTTCCATCGGGTGACTCGATAGTTCCCTAAGGTGTGGCACAACACCCTGCCTTCTTTAGACTTCCTCTTACCCCATGGAGTAGTCTTCGACGAGAACTTGAAACTGAACATGATCATGTCCGCGAGGCTCCTTTGTCGTTCCACCGCCTCCCCATTGATGATGGTGTAGGCCTTGGCACATATGGCGATGCGCTGGGCCTCAAGGAGGGTACCCATCAACATGTAGTCCATGAAGGGCTTGGTCCATCTAGGGTTGATTAGGAGGACCTCTTCTCCTTGTGCCCATGCATCTTCGTTGGGGGAGGAGGCAACTCACTTGGACCAGATTGGGACTCGGGAGCAGCCTTTTCCTTGACTAACAGTGAGTGCAACTCCTGTAAGAAAACGCTTGGCAGGACCGAGTCACGAGCGGGCCGTAGTCTGGCTAGCTTGTTTGTTGCCTCATTGTATCAGCGGAGCACGTCGACGAGATTCGAGCCCCCATGGGCGATGAGCCGACGAATACCGAGCGATACGATGGTGAATATCCCGTGTAGGAGTGCATTGTACTTGGCCGCATTGTTCGACGCGGGGAAGTCAGGTTGCAGGACGTACTTGAGATCTTCCCCTCTGAGGGAGGCGAGTAAGACACTAGCACCCGTGCCCTTGGCTGTTAGTGATCCATCAAAATGGAGTATTCGGTACTCGAGATTGACTGTAGGAGGGAGGACTTGAGCCTTGTGGTTGAGCTTCATGCTAAACTGCTTGAGGTTATCGAATGTCCCTACTAGGTCCATTATTAGGTCCTCCTTTTAGGTCTTGATTACCGCGCCGTCCACGTAAGCTTGCATGTTTCTTCCATTCAGCTTGTGGAAACAACGCTGGATGCATTGTTGGTACATGTCGCATGGTTTTTCAAACCAAAGGGTAGGAAGGTGTAGCAGAAGGCATTTGAAGGGGGTGATGAAGGACATCTTGAACTGGTGCTAGCCCGAGTAGGCGTCCAGTAGACATAGCACTTCCTGTTGAGTCAAACTTGTCTTAAAGAAAGGCAGGCCGGCAGCAGCAGCAGCGGCGCATACCTTGCTAGCCAAGGTAGTAGTAAAAGAAAACGTAGTAAATCCTATAGTAAATGTATAGGGCAGCAGTTATGTAAACAACACCTGTGACATCAACGCTTAGATAAGCTAGTATAGTTAGTCGGTTCAGTTTTAGCTATAAAAGGAGTTGCACCCCGGTTGTAGCCAATCCATCAAGCGTAGAAGCAATCTAGCGCCAAGCCATTCAACAACGATCCATCAAGTAGTGTAGCTAGCTTGTGAAGTACTAGTAGTACTCTCCTATGTAAGAGTGCGTGCGTACACTATATAAGCAGTAGTTCATCTCTTGTTTGTTCTTTCGTCCGTTTTGGTTGATCCTCGGTAGAGTTAACTAGTCTACACATTGGGGCTAACAATTGGCATCAGAGCCCTAGGTTTTAGTAGCGATGGCCGGTGTAGAAGGAGAGCAGCAGCGCAACACCTGTCGCAGTCATCACAATACAACTCCGAGTCGCTGCGTCCACGTGAGCAGTGAGCACACAACCAGTCTAGGCGCGACCGTAGCGGTGAGGTCGTGGTTAGGGAGATCGTGCGCGAGATCGCATGCAAAGGTAGCATGCCCATCACCTTCCCGATGCTCACGCGCTCGAACTATAGCAAGTGGGCGTTGATCATGGAGTGCAATCTCCATGCCGTGCGCCTTTGGGTTTCCATGGAGGACAGCATGGTCGAAAGAAATGAGGTCACGAAAGCCGTGGCAGCGCTCATGCGCGCCACGCTGCCGGAGATGCATGACATGCTTGCGGCGAAGGCAAACGCCAAGGAGGTGTGGGAAGCCATTCGGACCCAGCGTCTCGGCAACAACCGCGTGCGTGAGGCGAATGCGTAGAAGCTGCGGGTGGACTTCGAGAACGTCACCTTCAAGGCGGGCGAGCTCGTTCACGACTTCGCCATGCGGATCTCCAGCTTTGCGTCGCAGCTCCACGCGCTTAGCGACGTCATGGACGACACGAGAATGGTGGGAAAATATCTCCGTGTCGTTCCACCTTGCTTCGCTCAGGTAGCAATCTCCATCGAGACCTTGCTTGACCTGAGTGAGCTCGCCATCGAGGAGCTCACGGGACGGCTACGGGTGGTCGAGGACCACCTCGAGGATGGCCGCAGGAGCTTCAGTGGCGGACGACTCTTACTCTCGAAGGAGTGGGAGGTGAGGAAGCTTCAAGGACGTGGTGGCAGCGCCACGAGCAACGGAGGCGGCACCGGCTGAGGCGGTGGTCGCACCCAAAGCGGAGGCGACAACCTTGGGCGGAAGCCAGGCCAGCCCCAATAGCAGGACGGGGCCGGATGAGGCGCCGACAATGACAATGAAAAGTGCCACTATTGCGGCAAGTCGGGTCATTGGTTCCAGGCATGTCTCACAAGGATTGTTGACGAGGCAGCTGTGGTTTCGGCAAACCTTGTCCAAGCTGACATGGACGGTGCGCCGGTAGTCTTGATGGCTTGCGCTGAAACCGTGCAAGAAGGCCCAGCGCCACCCGCGACCACGGTACCGGCAACCGTCGTGTCCGTGCAGGAGGCATGGAGCCTGTCAGCAGAATTCATCCCTACAATGGTAAGCAATTCTTCGACAACATTGTTCTCGGGGCCTATTGACTGGGAAGCGATGAAGGCACGAGCGTGGGGAACTCACGCCCCGGCAACCGTCGTGTCCGTGCAGGAGCACAGAGCCCGTCAGTAGAATCCATGCCTACAGTGGTAGGCAATTCCCCGACAACATTGTTCTCAGGGCCTATTGACTGGAAGGCGATGAAGGCACGCATGGGAAGTCACACCCCAACAATGCTCGGGCCCATGGCACATCTGGTGGACCATGCCCCGACCATGATGTTGGCGACCATCGAGTCCGTGGAGGAGCGCACGATGATTCAGGCCGGCCATACCTCGACAACCAAGTGTCCGGGGTCCATCGCGTTGGCAGGAGATAGCTCCCCGACAATGGCGTGTGCGTGCGGCTACGTCTTCCTCAAGGAGGAGAGAGCCGTGACCACACCCACGCTTGTAGGTGACAAGCGCAACGATGGTTGGTTCCTTGACAATGGCGCCACAAACCACATGACTGGTTCGGTCGACGTGTTTGCGGAGCTGGACCACTCGATCGCTGGGAAGGTGTGGTTCGCTGATGGCTTGGTTGTGGATTTCTATGGC